ATGCAGTGGGTGGAGGGCAGGTGACTCTGTGAAAGCTGGCTTAAAAATTGGCTCCCCATGGGCACTGTCTCCCTCTCCCCTGCACTGTCTCTGATACAGGGGCAGCAAGGGGAGGACGGGGTGTTGCATGTAGTTGTCAGAATTAACCGCTAAGCCCAGGTTTATCAGTTTAACCATGTAACTGACTGTACTCGTAACATCCCTAATTGTAACCAGATGCAGGTCTAAGAATGGGAAAATTGCAAAGTTCCACCCTGAGATGAGTAAAGGTACAAGGCCTAACCTTTGAGGAGGGAGCAGTTGGAGAGACTAGACATGGGACAGTGGTGCAATAATCCCCATAATCAAGAGATCTTTTTTTCTCCTTTTTTTTAAGGATGTTGCTAGGAGTGTGGTGACTGAAGTGGATATGTGTATGTGTGTGTAGTCATTTATTTTTGTTGTGATTTTTAATGTATTAAATAGAGGCACAGAGTATTAGATGAGTGCCTATAAGTGTATCTAAAACTTTGAAAAAACAATATAATAAGGTAAATAATTACAACTGTAGAGAGAGGTAATTTAATTTGTAGCTAAATTTTCAGAACTGATTGAACTTTTTTGTACTTTAAATATATTTTTAAAGCATGTTTTGCTTATAGGCTCGAATACATCCATTCCATGTTTTGGTTGCATTAGAAACCTACAAAGCAGGACATGGAAACCGGGGAAAACTTCACTGGCTTCCTGATAAAGACATTATAGAAGCTCTTGATGCCTCCTTTTATAAGACATTCAAGGTAATGATCTGTTTAACTATCGTATCTGCAGACCCTTGCTAAAGAAGTCATAAGCCTGGAGTATTTTAAAGCAGAGTAAGCAATAAGATATACAAGTACACTTACTGAGTTTGGTCCTAAAATTCTGCCTGGGTACCATGGGGTGGAGTAGGCTCACAGGCCCACTGCTGAGAGCCTCAGGATTCTGACATACCCATCCCAGGTAAGGAGCAGTAGAGAAGACTTCCAGAAAGCCTAGGGTGTTTGCAAGGAAGCAACCAATAAGAGGCAGCTGGGGCCAGGAAGGCCATGTAAAAGGAGCTGCAGAACAAAGAATAATAGTTAATTGCTGTTTGGAGCTGAAGAATAAAGAACTGCATGCCTGGCTGGAAGAATAGCAGGACTACATACAGTAGGCTGGCAAGGACAAGGAGAATGAGAGATTAGCTGGCTTTTAAGTTTGCGCCAAAGACAGTTTGCTAACAGGGACCAAGGGAGCAATGAAGGAGCTCTTGGCTGACTGATACTGAGTAAGGATTGAGCCTAGGGTGGGCTCAAGGGTTTCCTCTAAGCGACAAAGCTGCTTAAGGTTAGGCAGGTGCTCAGGGCTCCATGTGCGGAACTCCTGTGGCCTCCTTTTCTTTTGGCTGTGGCTGCTCTCTGTTGGGGCCGGAGGAGCTGAAGGATGAATGTGGAAAAAACACCTGAGAATCATTTAAAAGGGTGCAGACGCACCCAATGAGAATAGGCACTGCTGAGAGGTGAGTGCTGACCCTGTTACACCAAGACTTTTTGCCTACTACCTTCTTAATACTTTTTCTTACAGTGCAAATTCTGTTTCCACCTACCCAGTCCATTGTTTTGTGTTTTTAACCTACTCAATCCAAAATTAGTGGAGGTGTTTTGTTAGTTTGTTTTTAGCTTAAGGGTACCATGACATTGCAAGTGTGTGGGTTTTTTTGTTTTTAAGTGAGAGACAGACATTTTTGTTTTCCAGACATTTGAGGTACTCAGTTTTAAAGAAGTTTATGCTCTGTGAAATATGCCTGCTCCTATCAGCAGGATTAATATCATAAGTGTTTAGTGGAGAAATGTAGGTTTGGTGTAAGTCACAAATAACAAACACCATGGCATGTTGACTCAGGTGAAGGAAAAAATAAGTCCAGAATTACAGTTTTAATTCAGATTGTGCTATTTATAAAGGTAGACATAGATGCAGGTTAAAAACAGAAGGTTAGATTCAGCTCTGTTACAACAAGTCTCAGAGGAGGTAGTTGTGTTAGTCTGTAACTGAAAAAACTTAAAAAATAACAAATAGTTCTGCAGCACCTTAGAGAGTAACAAAAAATGTAGATGGTATCATGAGCTTTCCTGGGCACAACCCACTTCTTCAAATGAAAAGTGGGCTGTGCGTATGAAAGCTCATGATGCCATCTACATTTTTTGTTATTCTCTTAGCCTATGTCTACACTGCACTCTAAACTCAAAATAAGATATGCAATTTGTGTTTATTTCAAACTAGGCTATTTTGAAATTTGGTGCTGTCTTTGAAATAAAGTGCTATTTCGAGAGATCCCTTAACCCTCGTAGAATGAGGGCTACCAGGATGCCGAAATAGCGTGCCCATTATTTCAGTAAATATTTTGAAATAACGGGTGGCTTGTGAAGACATGGGATAGCTATTTCAGGATACCTCTGGTATCCCAAAATAGCTTTGATGTGTAGACATATCCTTGGAGACTAACAAAAAATGTAGGTGGTATCTAGGGTTGCCAGATGGTTGAAACAAAAATACCGAACACCCTCTTACCCCCCACACCCTCCCAAAAAAAAAAACACTGGGAAAAAGTTCTGTTGAAGGAAAAAGTTGTTAAGCCAAAAAAACATTTTTAATTAAAATAGCATGTCCCCTTTAAGAGTGAGTGCAGGGATAGGAACAGGGGAGTGGTTGAGCACTAAGATCCAGGCTTCCCCTTGGTCAGCAGACATTTTGTGCCGACAGACTTGCAGAACCAGGTAAGCATGGGAGTTGAGGGGGTTGGGAGCCAGGGAGTGTTCGTTGGGTTGCCAGGTGCCTGGTATTTTCACCTCCTGGCCGAGGAAAAAATCAGAAAATACCGGACATTTTAGGTGTCTGGTATTCTCTGAATTTTTTTACCAAACAGGAGGCGAAAATATCGTACTGTCTCGGTGAATACCGGACACCTGGCAACCCTAATGGTATCATGAGCTTTTTGTGGGCCCAACCCAATTCTTCAGATGAATGCCATTTATTGGGTTCATCTGAAGAATTGGTTTGTTCCCATGAAAACTCATGATACCATCTACATTTTTTTGTTAGACTATTTGTTGTTTTTTCTGTTTTGATCAGTTAACCAAAACTCTTGGTTAGCTAGTTTTTTGTTTTGATGTTTTTTCCTTGTTTCTGGGCCTTTTCAGAATATTATGAAGTTAAGATAGACATAAAAATGTGGCAATAAAATGGCAATTAACCTTCAGATATGAATGCACTGGTTAAATAGTTCTGTAATTACACTAGTAATAACTTTCTATTTATCAAAACAATTCTGGTAAATGTTTAAGTAAGCTATGTGTAATTCTTAGAACTTACAGTGCAATGTAAGCTTTTGTTGCTAATATTTTTGAAGCCATGGTACTTTTGCCAAAAAATGGTTTGGATAAATTGAATTCAGCTATTGGTAATATGATTGGTTCCATTTGCTTGTGGAATGATGCTAGGGTATTGATTTGTTACAGAATTTGTCAGAAAAGTGTCTCCCCTAAAGTCACCAAGTCCACATGAAATTCTCTCACAGGACAACTCTGTTGATAAAGGAGATGCAGTCTTTGAGATAAAATGGAAAAACTGGAGTCCTAACCACTTGTCATCAAAGATGATTTCAGGACATTTTTACCAGCACCAGGGTTATTATTTAACCTTCTTTTTGGCAAGTTTTAAACATGGGTAACTTCTTTCTGTGAAGCTAAATTCCCATTTAGTTTGAACAGGTGAAGTTGCTCTTTTCCTCTTAAAACCTATTGTGTAGGATTGTGTCTTTGTTTTATAACTAGGGAAAGTTATCTATTTTTATAAAAGGCTCTTCAAATTGCTTTAGAAATTTTAGAAATCTTTTGTATGAGAGGCATCATGTAACATGGTAATCAATTTTTGTAGCAGAGTTTTAATATGTGTTTTATAAAACTATATTGTGCCAAAGAATGGGGGGAATTGACTTGGTTTGCTTAACTGCTTTTAAATGTATTTTCCTAGGATAGGAAGGGGGTGAATTGAAAATCAAGTAGAATTCTGAGAGGTTTTTTTTTTTTAATATATGTGCGCATGTGTATTTGTGCCATTGTTTAGACAGTGGAACCAACGGGAAAACGTTTCTTGCTTGCTGTTGATGTCAGTGCTTCCATGTCGCAAAGAGTTTTGGGCAGCGTGCTCAGTGCTAGTACGGTTGCTGCAGCAATGTGTATGGTAAGAAATCTCTTCTCTAACTGTTCAGAGTTCTTTAGGCTTGAGCTCACTGAGGCTAGACGGTACTACTGGAGAAAGTCGATTTAAGATATGCAACTTGAGCTATGGGAATAGTGTAGCTGGAGTTGATGTACCTTAGGTCAAATTTCTTCAGTGTCCCCATTGTGGGAGGTCAACAGCAGAAACTCTCCCGTTGACTTCCCTTGCTCCTCACATCCTGGTGAAGTACCAGGGTCATCGGGGGCACCATCAGCAGTCAATTTAGCAAGTCCTTCCTAGACACGCTAAATCAAACCCCAGGAGATCCATCTTAGGGTAAGTGAAAACAAGCTGCCACTAGAGGAATTCCTAAGCATGGTAAAAATCTGAGGGACATAGAGCCACCAAAAGTGGCTTCTGTTCCACCCTTCTCCTTGCTTCTGGCATACACAATATATCAAGAACACTCTTACTTCTCTTCAGTGTCCCCATTGTGGGAGGTCAACAGCAGAAACTCTCCCGTTGACTTCCCTTGCTCCTCACATCCTGGTGAAGTACCAGGGTCATCGGGGGCACCATCAGCAGTCAATTTAGCAAGTCCTTCCTAGACACGCTAAATCAAACCCCAGGAGATCCATCTTAGGGTAAGTGAAAACAAGCTGCCACTAGAGGAATTCCTAAGCATGGTAAAAATCTGAGGGACATAGAGCCACCAAAAGTGGCTTCTGTTCCACCCTTCTCCTTGCTTCTGGCATACACAATATATCAAGAACACTCTTACTTCTGACTGCTTAAAAGGGTGCTGGAGGTTGCTGGTAACTAGGGTCAGTAAAAGCTGCATGAATCAAGGATGTAAAGAAGCAGATAATCCACTAATCGTGTAGTCGATAAAAATCATGACTATTGACATAATTTAATTGATAAGGAAAAGCTGTTGAGGCTCTGCAGTTTAAATATAGTAAGAGCCAGGTGTGCAGGCAGCCTAGCTCCTGCTGCATTTAAACGGCAGAGGTAGGTCCCAGACCCAGCGCAAGCTGGGACTGAGCCAGGTTTGTTCAGTCCTAGCTCATGCCAGGTCCAGCAGCCCCTCACAGCATAGGGTGGGGCAGGGAGGCAGCACTACAGAGACGTTTTTTAAGCCAGCACCAGTTCCTGCCCCATCTCCCTCTGCCTGTGATACAGCAAGTGATGTAAGCAAGTAGTCGACTATCCAGTATGCCTAGGCTTATCAGATAGTCGACTATTTGATTACATCCCTAACCTGAATTCAAGGCAGGTACCCAGTATGTGTATCAAATGCTTTTTATTTGATCTGTCAGAAAATATTTAAAATCACTTTCCTTGACAGAACAGTGCAGACTGAATTGAAAAAACATTTGGGAAAAAATTTATACTTTAATCCATATAATCAAGTCATACTTTGAGGAGTGTATTCACTCAGATGGAATGTTAATTTAGAAAGGATGATAATATTTTAAGTTCAGTTAGTTGTGCTTTTTAAATTTCAGGAATACAGAAAAATATAAATAGTGTCCTCTAGCAACAACGAAAGAGAAAGAAAGTGGGGGAAATTAAACTTCATAACTAAAAGTGAAAAATGAACAATTACTTGTGATTGTGAGTAGGTCTATTAGTAGTTCGTCTTGGATTTCTGCAATAGTTAGGCACTCTAGGGTAATAGTGTTTCACCTCTATCCTTACTTTGCACTGACTTCATTTTGGGGGGCAGGGGAGGGTCTGTTATATCTGTTCTTCAATTTGGTGTTTTGTGTTTTCAGGAAAAAATTTGAATTATCACAAAACAAACAAATTGCAGATAATTACAAAGTGATATAATTAAAATATTTGACCTGATTTCCTGAAACTCTATTTTTTCCCAGGTTGTTGCACGCACAGAGAGAGATTCCAATATTGTTGCCTTTTCACATGAAATGGTCCCTTGTCCAGTGACAAAAGACATGACGTTACCTCAAGTATTAGTGAAAATGAATGAAGTATGTAAATACTTTCCATTTTGTTGCACTCTATGTAGTGTATACTTCTGATGAACCACTGCCAAAAATTAAGGCATAATTTTAGGTAACTTAGTACTTGCATTCTATTTTTGCTTTGTAATCAATCCAAGCAGTGTTTGTTCCACATTTATTTACTTAAATATTCTTCTTCTTGTTGTTTTTCTGTTCTTAATGTAGCTGGTTTCTACTGAAAAGCTATGTCAAACAAATTCTGTTACCTTGGTCTTTGAATAGTTTTACACATCATTTTAGAGAAGTGATATTGGCGCATAATCTCAAACTGAAAAAAAGATTGAGAACAATGCATTCTGCAAGGCAAAATTGTGCAATTTTTTTGTAATATTACCAAAGCTTCTGCATATAGTGATATTTGAGATGTAAAGTACTTTACATTTTCAGAACAGTTGTATAAACAGTCATCGTAATATCTTCAATTCTGCATAGCCACTGCAATGTTCTAATCTAATCAGTATTTTTCAGTTATGTTAATTTGTGCTTGACAACAACAAATGACACAAGATGAGGTCGATCTAGCTAGAGATATAAAGGTTAGCAAAAAAAAACCCCTACAATTACATTAGAAGCAAGAGGAATATTAAGGACAGGGTAGGCCTATTACTCAATGAAGAGGTAGAAACGAGGTAATGTGGAAATAGCAGAAGTGCTTAGTGACTTCTTTGTTTTGGTTTCACCAAGAAGGTTGGTGGTGATTGAACACCTAACATAGTGAAGGCTAGTGAAAATGAGGTAGGATCAGATGCTGAAAGTGGGAGAGGAGGTGAAAAAATTCTTAAACGAATGAGATGCTTTTAGGTCACTAGGACCTGATGAAATGCATCTGAGAACACTATGTCAGCTGACTCAGGAGATATCCAAGCCATTAGCGATTATCTTTGAAAAGTCGTGGAATACGGAAGAGATTTCAGAAGACTAGAAAAGGGCAAGTATAGTGCCCATCTATTGAAAGGGGAAATAAAGACATCCCAGGAAACTATAGACCAGTAATCTTAACTTCTGTACCTGGAAAGATAATGGAGCAAATAATTAAGCATTCAGTTTGCAGACAATCTAGAAGATAAGATAAGTAGTAGTAAGCATGGATTTGTCAAGAAGAAGTTAAGGCTGTGAAAGTATAACCGTACAAACGGTTAACCAATAAACCTGGGTTCACAATTACACAAAGAGGTGGCTGCCAACCTGTGTTGCTGCCTCTGTATCAGATAGAGGCAGCAGCACGCACCAGCTCTGGAGAGCTGTCTGTGGCTCTGTTGTTCGTGTGCTGGTAATCGTGTAACCGTTGAGATTTCAGCAGTTACTTGTTTACCCAATTACCAGCTTTTTAATATTCCTAAAACAAGGCATGTCAAACTAACTCGATAGCTTTCTTTCATAGGGTAACAAGCCTTATGGATGGAGGAAACAGTAGATATGTTTTGTCTTGATTTCTGTAAAGGTTTTGATATGGCTCACATGACCTTTTCATAAACAAACTAAGGAAAGGCAACCTAGATGGAACTACTGTAAGATGGGTGCAAAAGTGATTGGATAACTATCTCCAGAATCTAGTTATCAATGATTCATAGTCATGCTGGAAGGGTACAAACAGTGGAGGTTCTGTAGGGATCAGTTCTGGGTCTGGTTCTGTTCAATATTTTCATCAGTAATTTAGATGATGTCATAAAGAGTATGTTTATAAAGTTTGTGAAGGATGGCAAGCTGAGAGAGTTTTTCAGTACTTTGTAAGGATGAAAATTCATAGTGATCTGGAGAAATGGTATGAGATAAATAGGACTGATACAAAATGGGAAATGACTGTTTAAGAAGGAATATTGCAGAAAGAGTTCTAGGGGTATCCCAAAATAGCCCCGCTGTCTAGAGACAGCCTCACTTCACTGAGAGAACCTGTTGATGCTGATAACGTGATGACATCATTCTGTCACCTGGCAAGATCATTCTGATGTCCAGCAGGAAAAACTTTTAGAGAGAGAGATTTTGATACATTTATATTCAATGTTTTTCCAATGCAATAATATCAAAGAAAGAGTAACCTGTTGAATGTTAACTCTTGAATGGGACTGTAGATAGCAGTAGGAAAGTGTTAACTTTCTCATGTCCTCCTTTGTACTATCAAACTTCAGGATCATATGGGGTGAGATACATAAGTTATCATTATATTACTTCTAGAATTGTCAGGGAAAGTGTCCTATGCAGTTCGTAATTTATATCTTTATGTATTTTTAGATTCCAATGGGCAACACTGATTGTTCTCTTCCAATGATATGGGCTCAAAAAACACACACAGCTGCTGATGTCTTTATTGTATTCACTGATAATGAGACCTTTGCTGGAAATATTCACCCTGTGGTTGCTCTGAGGAAGTACAGGGAGGTAAATAATCTTCTGATAATACAGTATAATTGTCACCTCACACAGTGGTGGGGAATAAATATTAAATTGTCCAAATATTTCTTTTTGAGAGAAGTTTAATTCAAGAAATGTATTATGCTTACTATATTTTTAAGAGGGAAGCTACTGAAGTTATTAGCTCTGCAGGCTACTGGCCTCCAGTAGCTTTTCATGTGCTCATCTTGTAAACTGTGTAGGCTTTCTTTCGGCAAGTCATTCTAATGTTGAACTTTCTGAAATCAAATTACAGAAAAAATTCTCTATAAATATGTTCCACTGTCATAAAATATTGTTGAAATTCTGAACATAATAGGCATTTGGCATCCTCAGTAGGAGAGCTATTTCGTTTATATTCAAATTATACCCTATACTTTATAAATCTCATGACGACTTCAAAGTTTTTCACAAACACTGAAGAGTCACCTATATTACAAGGGTTCTGTATTGTTTGATTAATTGTTCTGCAGTTGGATAAAATTAAGGCAAAGATGTTGAATAACTGGCCTCATAGTCTTCAAGAAGTCTCAGGCAGAGCTGAGATCTGATCTGACTGCAGAAGCTATGCTTTATCCATAAATGCAGCTGTCCCTCCTTAATAGATGATTGGATGTCTATTACCGGCAGTCACTGTATGAAATCTAATCTATAGAAAATTTAAATGTTTTAATTTCAAATAGTCTGCTGAAAAGTGGGTTAACTCTGTATCACTTTCACTAAGCTTTGATGATGTGTAACTGCAACTGATGGCATTTACTTCGTTTTCACATAAATCAAATAGATTTTTATTTTGACTTGAAGTTCAGAGAGATTTTTGCAATCCTTACTCAGTAAATCTGTTGCCATCAGCACTGAATCAGTGCATTGTGGAGTACCTGAGTAAGGACTGCAGAATTAGGCCCTAGTTCATAAATTGTGTGTGCATATTCTGGTGTACTGGAAATGACTTGCTTTCCTTCCTACTTCTAGAAAATGAGTATTCCATCTAAACTGATCGTTTGTGGAATGACATCAAATGGCTTTACCATAGCCGACCCAGATGACAGAGGGATGTTGGATATATGTGGCTTTGACACGGGAGCTCTAGATGTCATTCGCAACTTCACTTTGGATTTGATTTAATCTCTAGGCACCTACTATTCAAAAGGGGTCTGTTGCTGGCAAGAGACTCTGCCCTGAGAACTCCCAGCCAAATGTACTGTACTAAAATATGGCACGTGATGCACATATCAGAATGATACCTTTTTGTAAAGGGGAAAAACAAATGAGAAATGACGTTGTTGTTGTTGCACATAGCTTGAAAACAACAATAGGAAAGCCTGCTAAACAGAGCTACACAGTTCGATTTAATTTCATTTATAATAGTTGAACTGTACTAAGGTTTTGTCACTGTACAATGTCTTTTGTCTTTAACAATAAACTAAATTACTTCTGGTATTGGGAATGGGGGCAGGAAAGGGAAATAGCGTTAGTGTTTTTAAATAGTATTCATTTAACAGCAGCTTAATTTTTTAAATCTTTGTATTTGAGAAGAATAAGTACAAGTCAACCATTTCCATTGTTCAGTTTCAAATCTATAAAAGAAATATTTTTGGAGTGCACTAGACCATGTAACTGTGATGGAGTGTAAAAGTTACTTGTCAGATTTTATAGTGACACAGTGAAAGTGGAAATATGATTAAATTGTGATAATCATACTTTTTCTGAACAGATCTGGATCTTCTAAAATGTAACTTTTTTGGTAAATTGAAAGGCAGTTTTTGTACATTGTGGTTTCAGCAGCACTACTGTAGAATTTGTAAGCTTTGTAAGAAATTTATACAAATTCTGTTTAGCAAAAAGTTCCTGAAGTTATAAAATGAAGTCCCATCTGCCAAAGCTATAGCTTGCTGAGTTTCAAGTGCTTTTCAAATGAGGTAGATACACTAATTCAGGTGTATTTGTTAAACATTTAAATTTTGGTCATCCATTAATAGAAATAACCAGAAAAAAATATGCTCATTGTTTTGAAGCAAACTTATCAAC